CCCATCGTGTCGCTAGCTCTATGTCTATCTTATAGACTGCTGATATATATATATATATATATATATATATATATACTAGAAAAACAGCTCTGGAGACGGCTAAAACATCTAACTGCGAGAGCAGAACAATGGAGCAACTCGGCAAAATAGGTCCTAGCAACACTAAAAATCACAAATATAGGACGAAATGAAATAACAGTCTCTTTTGATGTGACAGCGCTGTTCACATCGATCCACATCAACTTGGCGAAACAAACAATAATTGCTCTACTGGAGGAACACGCAACTTCCGACACAAGCAGTAAAATCGAGGGCAGACAAATGATGAAGTTGCTTGGATTTTGTCTAATAAAATACTTTACCATCAACGGCAAAATCTACGAACAGACAAGACACACTAATGGGATCGCAGATTTCTGGAATGGGTTCTGTAGAGGTAGGACAGATGGCTCTCCCAATTGCGGAACCGAAAGTTTGGGTACGTTACGTAGGCGACACCATCATTCTTTAGCATACCAAATTAGAGGACACATCAGTTAATCAACAGTGTATTCGACGGCATCGAATTCATGGGAGCGTAAGAAGAGAACAGTGGGCAGTTGTCATTTTTATACGTTCTCATAAGTAGAACTGGTTCAGGACCACTGGAAACGACAGTTTATCGAAAAACTACATACGGACCAGATACTCAAATATAACAACAATCATCCGGCACCGAATAAGCACAGCTGCATGCTCTTTTCAAACTGAAAAGTGAGAAGACATGTGTTAGTAGAGAACACAGACACGGCCGGACGAAGGACAATCGGGGACCAAGCAACGGAAAATGGTCGCTGATGATTAAAATGAGTGATGTAAGCCCGCCTCACCATGCAGGTTGGATCCACGTAAAGCACTAAACCTTAAGCATATGGGTTGCAATCGACATCTGGTGTCATTCCCTAATCGGAGTGCCTGTTTAACGTGAATCTACTGATGTGTTGCCTGTTAGTTATGACACGAGGCAGTGAAATTTAAAGGAAATGGTTAAACGACGTCCCTTTGTCTCTGCACGGCGTCTAGAACGTTATCATTTTACGATGTCGGTCATCACGACGAGACTGGACCTTACGGTGATACGATGGTTTGTGTACCTCAACGGTCCCTTGAGCTGTAATGGACAATGCTTCCTGCCTCTTTAAAGCCACGCAAAACAAAACGACCCATGGCTAGAGGCAAGACGAGCTCAGTCCTCCTGGTCCTCCAGATTGAGGGTTAGTGAGCTGTTAAAAAGAACTCTCTGCAGCCCACTGCCAAACTCTCACTGTCTTGCGGTCAGCATTGAGCCAAAGGATTTGGATGAGAATTCCAATCGTTCTCCTGTCTAGGCCTGAGTAACTTGACGGTATCCTGCCCACCAAATGCAATAAACTCCTCCACAAATAATTTCTTGGTACTCTGGTCGTCGCATTTAACTAACAGCGCTCTAGCTGTCGCAGCGAGCGGGATAAATAGGAGTGGGGATTTTAATGATCGGGTCTTTTCGTGTTGATATATTCCTCTTACGCGTTTTCATCCTCCTTCTTCCGTTCCAAATTAATTCCCCCCCTCTTTCCACCTTCAATTCGTGGCCAACCCCAATGTTACTATATTAAGAGTTTGCCTTCTAGTTTCCATTCACACGTGATCGTAGATGGTCGCTTCGTTTCAGCCAAGTCCATGTAAAACCAAGCGGACAACTTCATCTCATCAGCTTCTATTTGGAACCCTCGATTGTCGTCAAAACTAGCACGTCACAACGTGCACACTTTAATGCAAATCGGTCAACAGGCGGCAGTTGCCTGTACATTAGAGATCCGATAGAGCGATATGCGTTGCTTATCCAAGACTCACCTGCCAGAATCGATCTCTGTGCACAGCCTATGATCCCATTCATACGAAACTGACGACACTTTATCATTACATCTATCCGGAGTTAAAGCAGTTTCAAATGTCGCTTGAGCCGCTATGAGCATTACCTCGTGCCCCGGGGCTGAAGCCGCTCTGATCAACTGCACTCCTATCAGTGACCAGATGTGCGCCGTCCGACTAGTTGCTTCCTCCAAATTTTCGAAGTCTCGTGGCGCCAATAGGCGACTGTCATTGTTACCTACGCGCCCACAAACTACAATGCTGACTCTACCACCAAATGAACGAGCTCCTTCGTCACAGAGGTACAGCTACCTTAGTGCTGGCTGGTGATCTGAAGGCTCAAGTCGCATATCTGTCCAATGATGCGCCTCAGCTTGGCGGTCAATGCCGCGTGGGCTTCCACAATGAGCTGCTGCTACATTTGAATGAATGTGTCTGCCCATATCTTGTGGACACCAATTTCCGACACAGCACCCACCGGAGGGTGACATGGTGTCCACTAGTCACAAAGCAACCATGGACAAAAATCGAGTGCATCGCTGGTATTTGTGTAAGATCGTCGCTCGATCTGGAACACAAACAGGGACTCAGACTATGCAATTGTTTGTGCACTGATCGCGTACGTTTCGGTGGGCACCCGAGACGATGCTGTAAAGGCAGAGATGCTATTCAACTGGTGCTGAACACGTGTCAAAGTACGCCGGAATGCGATCAAAGTAAGCGCTTAGTGGACATAGCTGGAGATCACTGATCCCATATTCACCAGATGCTACTTGCAGCCAGTACGTCTAGTGTGACAAATCAGGTTGTCGACCTTGATCATGAATCTCTACGCAGTCTTTCAAACATCTTCGTGCTAACCGACACATACCAGATGAAGATGAACGCAACAAGAATTGTTGATATCTAAAGGGAAAACTATGTGTTAATCTGAAAACAGATAGGGAAACCTAACGGTCTCATTATGCATCGGAGATGGAAACGGCAGTTGAAATTGGTAAATCTCGTGAATTATTCCGTCTGGTGCAACAAAGGAGCAATAAACCACCTGTTAGCTAGAGCATATGCAACAGGCAAGTGATCGCCCTGCTTCATAGGCCGCAAATTTGAGCATGCCCTCTAACGAAGACATAAAACGGGAGATCCAACTGTTGAAATTGTGCGGGGGTCTTGGACCATATGTGCATCCTCCGATCCGGGGGACCAACTGTTTTGGACTAGTTGTAAGATTCATTAGTGGAACCATGGAGACAAGAGACTGAGCAGACCGATTGGAGCTGTCCCGTTACAATGTCAGTTTCCAAAGTAAGAGTGTGGTAGAGATAATAATCTGATCGCTATCGCCTCTGTCGTTCCTTACAGATTGACTGGCACCTGTGAAAGCCAGATTCGTGGAGAGTAAGGCGGATTTCGTAGAAATCCAGGAAGCACTGATCACACCTTTGCTTTACACCAGTTATCGAAGCACCACTAGTTACGTTGGTGACGCAACATATTCACGTTCTTTGACACGAAAGGTGCCTTCAAGTCGGTGGAATCGTGTAATCAGGAATGATGTGCCTTAAAAATAACTAAACCTGATATGGGTGGAAGGCTAAAATTAAGCAGGTTCTGTAGAAGGACCATAGTGAATAGCGTAACATAAAGAAAGTGTCAGTAAAAGGCAAGTTCACACAGGCAGACTAGTTGAGATATACGCAATAAAGATTGTGAGTCCATGAGGAATGGCAACGAATGCGACGCTTGTATAAAGCCGTGTCACCTAATGAACAAGTGTAAAAGATGAAAAATGTGGAACGTATTCTGCGAGCTGAATGGCAGTGAAATCCCTACCAGACACTGGCGTTCGGCCATGGGCAGTTGGCCATGTGAGATGGCATAGTGAAATGAGTGTACGGCCAAGCGGGGCTTTGAACTTCACCGGTGTGGAAACACAGGTGACAGGTTCAAGAAGGGCATTTCGTGCTTTGCAAACACGTATGAATAAGAAATTCCGACAACGTTCCAAATGACTGTACCGCACTGCTAGCTTGTGATGGTGACCCTTCAGGTTACTGTTGTGACTGAACCCCAGCAGATAGTCGGCGTCCTTCAAAATCATGATAATGCCCCCACGCAATCGCCGAGATCGTCTACTGAATACCCGGAGCACGTGAAGTCCTTGTTCATACAGTAAATGTTAAAAGCCTTCGGCGTTTTTGGTTGCCTGACGTTTAGTTATCTCCAAGGTGGTGAGATCCCTCATCAGTCATGGCTGCCAACACTATTGAGTATTCCATGTGTGGACGTGTGTATGAACCGAGAAGCTGCCGAAAAGATTGAAGGATCGGAGAGTCCGAATGCACGCCGCAGGAAGTCCATGTTTCGAATGCCTCTCTTATGGTGCCTTCTCGGTCTGAGCCGAACAGCAAACGGTGGCAGGTAGATGCGAGTAGCGCATCAGTGAGCAGATGCTTGCGAGGACTTTGAAGATGTAGGTCCCATGAGCAGAGGCCCGTGTGTCTACGTCTAGAGCGGTGATTGAACTATGCACCTAATGTTCGAACACAAGCAAATAAGTGAGGGGGTGGGGTGGAGTGATGTAGAAATAAAATAACTACCAGTTACTAGAAAGTAGATAATGGCTGGGGTAACGCGCGAAGTGAACGATGTCGTTGCTACAGTGGTTCAGTTGAAGGCAGAGTGGAAAAACCGACGAAACACGGAGACCGAGAAATGTTCGTAGGTCACCAAAGTGGAGGGAAACAAGGGGGTTCGAAGCGGTCATTACGATGGGCTACATAAGGAGCTACAACGAGTGGCGCACGTTGCAATGCACCAGGAAAGACGAGTTTGCTGAAAACCTGTTTGTACCGTAAGGTACAACTCGAGTCCCAACAACAAGTGTGTCAAAGAGTATGGTGATCGAAACGGGCGATGTGTCAGATAGATTGTATAGCACTTGACAGCGGAGGTATAAAAGAGTTAGGATAAAACAGCCCGAACAACCATTTTCGAGGAGGCATGAGTTTTCGAGGATACATCAATCTGGTGAAGGAACGCCAGAGAATCGCGGATCCACCACCCAAAGTACGTAACGGAAACCAATCCGGAAAGTGCTATTAACGTACTTGATGCAAACAGTGACGAACTCTTCCATCAGAGCTGCAACCGATCGGCAGGAATTGAAGCTATGTGTAGATGTGAATCGCATCACATGTTCTGTCAAACCGAGCGAGGCAAGCACGGCCGACCGATCCATCAATGTGGGCGAAACCTGTAAACAAACCGTAGATACGAGGAACATGTATGAGAAACAAGGGAAAAGCAGGTCGGCTATTCGGTAAGTTACGTGCATATGAGTGGGTGGGAATCTGCCACAGCGATGGCCGACTGTCACGTGGGGAACGCATATAGCGCCGAAATCGCGGACTATGGTGATAACACAAAAGAAGGAGATAAAGCTGAAGGGCACAGATTGCAGACGAACGATGAGTCAAGTGGAAACGACATGCGACGTATGTTGGTGGCCGGATATGAGAAAAAAGCTGAATGATGATGGGATTTGCAGGGATGAAGTAAACGTGGCTCAAACGGACAATGCAACATTACATCGAAATCGATTACAAACTTAAGATAATGCAGCAAGGGGCCTACAAAGGATAGATGGTCAGGCCCGTGACGAAAAATTAGATCACACGACGCACAAACGCATGTGAAAGTTGGGATGGTGCCACGGTGCGGTACCATCACAAATTCAGAGGAACAAAGCCGATGCTACAGAGCGAATGAGGTGGAGAAGGAACTAATGCCGGAAATAGGTCGTTCAGAGTTGAGGTGCCTACACGTTGGCAATCAGCGTCAGTCATACAGTATCCGCGGTGCGCCACTAGGAAACACCGTAGTCATGAAACTGCAACGGACGCATATGGGCTTGAATAAGGCAAGGTTGCAACAACTTGAAACCGTAACAGGTGGATTACAAGTCGTCTAGTCAATGTAGCAGGATAACGTAGTATAGCAGGGAGGCAGCCTCATCGTGATCTACACTGCATGCATGGAACCTAACGTTAACTCAGAGAGACTCAGCCTAACACAAACAAACACACAGAGCTTAACGAGTAGGACAACAATGAATGTAACCCTGGTGATGGTTGTGCGACATATGGTGTGCTGAGTGCTTAGCGTGGGATCCAAGTTGGGAAGAAAAACAATCAAATAACATGATTGCCGCCGTATGGGGCAACGCAATTCCCGCTGACCGGCCAAATAACATCTATGGGCAAACCATACACCAACCAATGCCGGGTAGAGAAACTCAGTCACCATTAACATTATACACGTTAGCTAGAGGTGGAAACCACCTCAGCTACTGTGCCACAACACAGAGAAGAAAAAAAATGCAACAGGTGCATGCCAGCTGAGCTACCAGTAACGTATGAGCATCGTTGCGGAAAGTTATCAGCTGGCCACTATTCAACAAATAAATTTATTGTGCAAAATAATATTATGCTACGCAATGAGCTCGTGGTTGGCGGGGGAGGCTACGAGGGATTTTGAGGGGCAAAGAAACTAACAGCACGAACGTCATAGGAGCGGCTCCTAGCCATGTCAGCAAGAGTATCCAGCCCAACGTGTTCATCGTCTTTCGGACCCTAACCAGAGCCGAGAAGCTAAAACCGAGGCCAGGTTCGGAATGAGAACCTTCATTCCTGTTGCCCAAGTCATCGCTTGGCCACTTTCCCTTCCATCCACACCCGCGGCGCGTCAACAGCGCAAGTCGCGGGAGCCCGTGGGTTGGCATGCGTAACACGTGGCCAGGCGGAATAAAAAGATGGACTAGGAGGATGGACCAGACAAAAAATTTATGTAAACGGAAGCGGCCAATAGACGCCGTAGGCATTGTCGGCCCTCTAGTAGGCTCCGTCGATGACTTGATGTCTGACAGTGCTATAGCGAGCATTCTCGTTGCTCGTTTGACTGAGTCAAAGGAACATGGGCTCAAGGTCATTAGTGATGGAAGAGGGTACGAATATACATCGGGTATTTTCCGAGTCAAACGTGTCGTCTGTCAAGTGGCCCTCCGTACGTCAAAAACTCAAAGTCTGGGCCTCGACCAGAAATTCATTATTAATGGAACGCAAACACATTTTGTATCTCGAGTCAATTAGAATCACTCACAAATGCAGAACAAATCTCCTTCCTATTACATCCTTGGCCAGCGTTCGAGCTTCGTTCAATGTCGATCCAAATCAATTGTATGCTATCCTTCAGTTCGCCTCTGCAGCGATCGACCAGCTTTCAGACTGTTGGCCCAAAATCGTTAAGCTCGACGGATCGCTATGCAACGAGCATCTAAGTGTAGTATCTTACCATCACATCCTTCCGTTTCTTTATTTTTCATAGTTCTCGTGTTGCACCTTCGGTATTGTCTTCCACTGCGGGAGAGCTTTCGAAATTGGGCTGCGATCTTAGTTGTCTTGTTCTGGAGAGCCGGGTTCTGTTCAGGGTAGAGACTGTCCACCGTATCGTCTTTTAGCCGGACGCGATAGCTTCCATTTCTTTCCCGACTCTCAGCTTGCTCTTCTCTTCTGATGCCCGTCAGCTCTACGCATCGGTTTTAAATAACTCCTCTCCAGATTCTAGAGATTGAGTATGTCTTGGTCTGTGATACGTTGCTCTCAGGTGTAATCACTTTCGAAGATAGTCTCGCCAACCATCAGTAGAAATTATCACGGGTTTCAAATTTACAATGGATCCAGGAGCAGCTTGCGGTGGTATTGGTTGTCTTTGAATTGATGATGTCGCAATAATCCATCCACGCTCTGCACGATCCCACCTGTTACTTATTGAAATCTCATGCTTTTCTTGCCGACTTTCAATGTTAAGTGAGCTAACGTTAGGCGATCGGTAGCAGCGAGTGAAGAGGTTCGATCGGTCTTTACAATAAGCGTAAAACCTCTCGATCATTTCTGAAGGATCCGGTTGCTGGTCATAATCGCAAAAGTTTCATAATTCTAATATCCATCCCGCATCCTCACCGATGCAGTACCTGAACATCGCTAATTGATAAGATAACAGATATTCATCTAACTGGATCAGCGTAGCGAAATCCATCCATTCAGCTTTCCACCCCCTCCAGCTATCCGGTAATGTGCTTGCTGTCATTTGTGGAGGACGCGGCAGTGGGATCAATGATTGTTCATCAAAGACGAGCGGGGTTTGGTATCTCAGCACCTCTGTCAACATGTCATGTTGCCCTCCGGGAAGCCAAAAGACTGGGCCGCGATCACGAAGTCCGTTATTAAGATTCCGCTCGAATATGTATAGAGTATATAAACTATTTACGACAATCCGTTTCAATGGCTCATCCCTGTTATTTGCATTGTGTCGGTGGCTCCTTTTTCATTGGTTTATGCTTGCTCGCCACGTTCACTCTGCCTAGAATCACCGTGACTTTCTTGGTGGATGTACGATTGGCGGGATTGGGCCCGCGCGTTTCTTCCCTCGGTCCAATGCCACAAGCCTTAGCTGAAGGGTGCACGAATATACGCTACTTCGCCTGCTGACGCCTGATTGGTCACTTGCACGTTCGGTGGATGGTTGCAAGCTGGACGCGATCACGGGCCAAGTATTTCCTGACTGGCTGACCCATCTGCTTCCGGTAACATGCTCACTCCCTATCAGTCTGGCCTGTGACGTTCGATCGGCATTACAGCATTTCCAATCACCAGCATTTTCAGCCCCCATCACACCGTCATTTTTCTCTGCTTGTTTCAGTTGAAAAAGCGGTTTGACCACCCCCGCCCGCCGGATGAATGGTTACGGCACCTAGAGTAAACGCAACTAAATCAATCGTACTGGTTCATTTAACGAAGTATCACTGACTAGGACTAAGCAGCGCACTCGGTCGTTGAGGACACCTTGGTACTTACATCGTACACAATGATGACCAACGATATGTTAATGCATGACCACCATGCCTCTCACAGGGACGAGATGGAAGTGGGGAATATAAAAATCCCCTGTAACCAAGTCGTAGTCGCAACAATATAAACATGCTTGGCAGTCCGTTGTAAAGCGCGTGCGCTGGAAACAACTACCACTAAAAAGACAATGCGGGCGGACCACCCGATGATAAGAAAAGTCACTACAGCCGGACCATTTGCAGATGAGTTGGGGAATTCAATACACGTTAGTTAAAGGTGGAAAACACCACAGCTATTGTGCCGAAATACACATGGAAAGAAAAAAAAGACGAAACAAAGGCACGCCAGCTGACTTACCAGTAACGCGATCCGGAGAGCTAGCAGCCTGCTATTATGTCGCAAAAAGGTTACATTACGTGTCATGTGTCACAAGTGGAGGGGAAACATAAGCGGGAGGAAGAGCGACAACGAAACTCTCCAAACGCCATTAAGGTCGGCTTTTCGCTACTTCAACAAACATATCCAACCAGACGTGTTCATCGTCTTTCGTGCCCCAACCGAGGCCAACTGCGAACTAAGGGACTTCATTCCTCTGGACCATGTCGTCGGTTGGCCTCCCTTCCTCTTCTACCACCCAAAATCCAATCGCGCAATGCACGACAAGGGGTTCGGTGTGTTGGCACGCGCAAAATATGGTACAGCCATCGGAGCCTGGTGCGTGACATAACGGTGCTGAGCCAAAAACAAGACGCCGAGCACGCTCATTGCTCACACGGTGTTCCCGCCAGATATAAACTAAGCTGCAAAGGCAGCAATGATCACATCACGATCAGTTACCACTGGAGAGGCTGCGTCCAGAACTGTCGCTCGCTCTGGAGCACATGTGTGGACATCGACCATGCACTTGTAGGTGCTGACCTGCGGATACGTTTAGGCGGACGCCCACGAAGACGATGGGAACACAATAACACCAGCCAACTGACGAAACAAGCCGTTCTGAATGGGGACGCTAACATTCGGGTTGTGTAAGCGCTTACTGGATACAACTGGTGGTCACTGATCTCATGTTCAGCAGACCTTACCAGCAGTAGGCGAATCCTCATGTGATAAGTCTAACAGCCAACTTGAACATAGGGTCACCTCGCGATCTCTGGAACTAATCGATGCACGCCAGCACATTGAGACTGGAAGGAAACACGATGAGACTCACCGAAACCTCCTAGCAAAACTTCGTGCTAGCTTAAGGATGGACCGCGAATTTTGATGGTCTCATCGTGCGTCAGCAATGAAGTGGCCGCTACCCTTGATAACTATCGGAAGTTATTACGTCTGATACGGGAAACAAGCA